ATAAGTTAAGGACTTACTGTCCTTAACTTTTAATCTTTAAAATCAAAGTTAAGGACAGGAGTCCTTAAGTTTTCATCTTAGAAATATAAGTTAAGGACTTCCTTAACTTTTTAACCAGCAAATCAAACTTAAGGACCGTTGTCCTTAAGTTTTCAACATAAAACTCAAAGTTAAGGACATACAGTCCTTAAGTTTTAAACTTGAAGCTATAAGTTATGGACTTCCTGTCCTTAACTTTTAACCTTTTAAATGAAAGTTAAGGACAGAAGTCCTTACGTTTTCAAATTTGAAGTATAATTTAAGGACTTCCTGTCTATAACTTTTTAACCAGCAAGTCAAACTTAAGGACCGTTGTCCTTAAGTTTTGAACTTAAAACTCAAAGTTAAGGACATACAGTCCTTAAGTTTTAAACTTGAAGCTATAAGTTAAGGACTTCCTGTCCTTAACTTTTAACCTTTTAAATGAAAGTTAAGGACAGAAGTCCTTACGTTTTCAAATTTGAAGTATAAGTTAAGGACTTCCTGTCTATAACTTTTTAACTAGCAAGTCAAACTTAAGGACCATTGTCCTTAAGTTTGAACTTATAACTCAAAGTTAAGGACATACAGACAGAATGTCCTTAAGTTTTGAAATTGCAAGTCGAACTTACGAACTCCTGTACTTAACTTTAATCTTTAAACTCAAAAGAAACAAAAACAAGGTAAGAAGAAAGAAATTTTCAAAATTCAGACATCTGCTCAAATAAGAATAATCTAAATGAATCCAATTTATGGCAAAAACTAAAAAGAGTCGATAAACATAAGTGGATATATCTAATCTTCTCTATGCTTTCTTGAAAATGGATGGAGAGCAAGAGAATATATACAAGATGTTCTATTATGACCAATTCTTCTGCAACGACCACATTTGAATGTTATTTTTGATGGCTCGGTAGCAGGAATATGCCTTTTCTTTTGCCTTCTACCTGGTGGCACTTTGAAATCTGGAGGTTTAACAATTTGTGACTTAACACTCTCTGGTACAATCCAAGAATCAGTATGTCCTACAGGATGTATTTGTCTTTCATATGTTTTTAGCCAAGATTCCTTTAAGTACCAGTGCGAACAAAAGTTGGACTTCTTGATGTTTCTCTTCTCGATAGCTGCAATTGCATGTATGCATGGTAATTCATCAAATTGAAACTGAAAACAATCACATGTTCTTTTGTTTAAGTCCACCAAGAAAGTTATTCCTTCTTCTTCAACTCTAGAACGCCATGAAACAGGGAAGACCTTCAATGTTGAAAATTTATAAGTGAGTACATTATGTTAAATATTATTAAAATCATAATATAAATATAGAACATAATACTTACATTCAAAGTAAATGCTAAATCTATTCTTTTCTTCAATTCTTCCTCTACCCAACAAGAAACATCATAAAATGTTCCTTCTGCTTTATTCTTCTTTCATAAAACCAACGTTGTAGCTTCACTTGAATGAAATCCATCATTCTTAGTATAGGCAGCTCCCTTGCTTCTAATAGGACAAAAATCATCGACTCAACTATGTTTGTTGTGAGCATGTCATATCTTCGTCGTGGACTACAAGAACGTGCCCATCTTTTCGGTGGTTCTTCCATCAAGTAGTCATAAGTCTTCTTATCTACATTTGCTATATCTGACATGTATAGGTCAAATTCTTTGCGCTTGTATACTCTTGCAGCACTTTGGAATAGTTTTATGACCTCACTTTTCACCTTCCTTCGCTTTAGGTTCTGCTCCAAATGATAGATGCAAATCCCATGATGGCTTTCAGGATATACCTTTGCAATGCCATTTGCAATAGCTTGATGCCTGTCTGATAAAAAAAATTAAATTCTCACGGCTCCCAATTGCATTGCGAAGCTGACTAAAGTACCACTCATAGGAATTATTATTTTCAGATTCTGCTATTCCAAAGGCTAATGGGAAAATTTGGTTATTTGCATCCTTTGAAAATGAAATCATTAAAACACCACGATATTTTGACTTCAAAAAAGTTGCATCAACAGCAATCACTGGTCTACAATGATTCCAACCAGCTATTGATGATCCATATGCATAAAACATATAAACAAACCTGAAAATATAATATAAAACAAGGTTAAAATACCTGAAATTTAGGACAGTCAGTCCTTAACTTTCATTTCCAAGTTATAAAGTTAAGGACATGATGTCCTTAACTTTGATTTCAAAGTTCAAAACTTAAGGACTGGCAGTCCTTAACTTTCATTTCCAAGTTATAAAGTTAAGGACATTTTGTCCTTAACTTTGATTTCAAAGTTCAAAACTTAAGGACTGGCAGTCCTTAACTTTGAATTACAAGTTCAAAACTTAAGGACAGCCAGTCCTCAACTTCTGGTTACAACTCAAAACTTAACAAGGTTAAAGATAGCATGTCCTAAATTGTTTACCTGTTATTGTCGTCAATCTATCTTTATGTTAGTATAAGTTCCCGGGTTTTTACTTGTCATCATATACAAGTATGAAGACAATAATTCATAATTCTCTTCGGGACTTCCTCTTATTAAAGCGGAAGCATGTTGAATAGCACGCCACGCCTTGTGATATCCAATGTCTAGTCCATGCAATTTTTGCATCTCTGCCATGACAAAAGCTGGTGTAACTTCAAATCTTGGTCCCGAAGATTGTCGATAATGTAACCACTAATTAACTTTGAAGTAGCATGCCTTTGATCTGCTTTCATAGTGTTAACAGAGCAGTCATGCTTTTTCTCAATCTTTACTATCTTGAACAGTGTTGAATCTTTAATTCTGAAAGCTCGCACACACCAACAACACCTATCATCATTGCATGTCAACGAATATCTTGTTGAGCTTGATCTAACAACCTTGAATTCAAAATGTCCTTTGATTGCTATATTGGAAAAACAGTTAATTATACTCTTCTTCTTGTCAAATACTGATCCAACTTTTATTTCATCCAACGAAGCATTTTCTTTTAATATCGTAGTTGGGGATTCTTTTTGTTTCAAATTTGATCTTCGTCTAGTTATTTGAGTACAGGTTTTTTCAGCAACTTCTTCGATTACCGGTGCACTCTCTAAGACTTGAATACCCAAAGCTTGTTCGTTGTCAATCTCTATAATGCTTTGTCCTTCTACTTGAATAGAATCAAATGTTTGAAGCACCTATTCATTTAATGGTTGAGCTTCAACCATATCTATTTCCATTATCTGTTGGCATTTGTTTTGATTGTCATGTTGAGTTTCTGTGTTGACATGTTCATTGCTTGTTGATCCAAAAACTCTTTCGGAAATATCAACAATGAAACGACAGCCCTTGAAGAGTGAATGACTTTTTAGTAACTCTATACATGTGTGAAGATCTAAATCTTTGGATACAAGCATTCCTTTGCTTGTTCCAAGGTTAATATCAAACCATATCACTGCTTCAAACTTGTGTCTATCCAATTCAATAACCTCAAAGATCTGTTTAATGAAATCTTCAAACCGAATTGACTCAGGTACTAGAACAAGCTTTGTTTGATGATCAAGATATTTATAGTCCTCAGTCCATCTACCATTAAAAGCAACTATAATGCATATTGTTTCCATCCTGCAAGTCAAGAGAATGGGAAACTCAGGATATATTTTATAAAGCAATACTTGTATAATTAAGAACATGTACTGTAAGTTCAAGACCAAGTTAAGGACCAAGTGTCCTTAACATTTTAACTTGGAATTCAAAGTTAAGGACTGCCTATCCTTAACTTTTGAACATGTAATTGAAACTTAAGGACTGCCTGTCCTTAACTTTTGAACTTGGAATTCAAACTTAAGGATTTCCTGTCCTTAACTTTTGAACCTTCAAGTCAAACTTAAGGACTCATGCCCTTAACTTTTCAACCTGCAAGTCAAACTTAAGGACTTCTTGTCCTTAACTTTTGAACCTGCAAGTAAAACTTAAGGACTTCCTGTCCTTAACTTTTTTACCTGCAAGTCAAACTTAAGGACTCATGTCCTTAACTTTTCAATATGTAATTCAAACTTAAGGACTTCCTGTCCTTAACTTTTGAACCTGCAAGTCAAACTTAAGGTCATGTCCTTAACTTTTCAATCAGTAGTTCAAACTTAAGGACAGGTTTTAACTAATAAGTGTAAGTTAAGGACCAAATGTCCTTAAGGACTCATGTCCTTAACTTTTCAATCTGTAATTCAAACTTAAGGACAGATTTTAACTAATAAGTGTAAGTTAAGGACCAAATGTCCTTAACTTTTTCAATTTGAAACTCAAACTTCAGGACTTAATGTCCTTTACTTTTTCAAAACAATTTGCAAAACTATGACAGTATGTCCTTAATATACAGAAGAACATCAACAAAGTTAAGGACATTGTGTCCTTAACTTTTTCAATTCAATTTGCAAAATGCGGACACTATGTCCTTAATATTATGTGCTCAATTTTTATAGAATTATCATAGGAGGCGATGTGCTTAACTTTATCAATCCAAAAATTCAAAAAAAAAATAATCAAATTTCTACTTACTGTATAAAAATCAATAGAAATATGAAAGAGTATAACTATGTCAATCTAAACATCAATAGAAACACATAAACGTTTAACTTACTATAAATATATGTCGATTTTTGGATGAGAATGTTGAATTTTTGAAATCGGAAGAGAATTTTCTTCAATTTCGACTATCACAGTGAAGTGCTGCTGCTGCGTTGCTTCTGCTGCTGCGTTGCTGCTGCTCGTTAATGTTTTCGTAGGTATAGGTTATAGCAGAAGGGTATTTTCGTCCAGTCAGGTATAAGTTTATTAAACCAGTGGCTAAAAACTAAAGACATTTAAAACACTGACTTTAAAATAAAGACATGTGCTGTTAGTGGCTATTTGTGCAATTCGCCCTCAAATCAAGGCGAAAAATCCTAATATTGTGGCGGGACAGAATAAGCGCGCTTTCAGTAAAAATTCAAAAAATTCGCATTTATTCACGCTTCTTTGTTCAGCTTCTCTCACAAGTCACAATTTTTTCACCCCAAACCCCATAAATCATCCATAGCCAAACAAAACTCTCATTTCACAACTAAGAAGAGATTCACTAATTATCAGGGCAATAAAAAATGGCAGATATTTCACATCTTGAAAAAATGGGAAGAGAGCTCAAGTGTCCCATCTGGTACAGTTAATTCAAGAATTATTAGGTTTTTCTTTTCAATTTTTGCTGGGTTTAATTTTATGTTGTATAATCTTAATATTTCGTTTTCGTTTTGCTTTTTTGTTCGCAGCTTGAGTCTGTTGAATTCGGCTGTTTCACTTACATGCAATCATGTATTTTGCAAGTAAGTAATGTGTATAGAAATGTTTATATGTGCAAATTTGATGTTTTCTAGTCGAAATTGAAGTAATATTTTTTTTTTTTGGCAGTTTATGTATTCAGACTACTATGAAATCAGGGTCCAATTGTCCAGTGTGCAAAGTTCCTTTTCATCGCAGAGGTTTGTGCCCTTTTGTTATCTTATAGTGCCAAGTTTTATATGTTGCATTTGTATTTGTTAAAGCAGATGTAGATCTAGGATTTGAACTTAATGGGTTCAGGATTCCAGAACATGACCTCAAGTGTTAATAATCGAGTTCAAAATTTAATATTTATTCATATATTAGTGAATTGCTTAACACATATATTGTGTCTAGGCTGAAACTATTGGGTTTGGCTGAACCCATAGCTTACATGATGGATTCGGCCCTGTGCTAAAGTATTTTCCTTAGGATCAATAATAGGGCTAATAAAATGGTTTATGGAATTATAGTTTTAATTACTCATATAAACATAATGCTCAAACATTGAAGTCTTTGGATTTTGCTTCAGTCATTATTGCGGCGACTGTGTATGCAATTGGCCTAACAGTTATACTAGGAATAATTTGATGGCATTGCTAGCTTAAATTTAATGACATGATGGATGGCTAAAATATGTTTTACCTCTTTGAAGTATATAAATGTTAAGGTGCTAGCCACGAGGTTCAATCAGAAGTAAACTTTAATTTGGTGCATAATGTGTGAGTAACAAGCTAGTTTCCCTGTTTAGCATGTTCTTTCACGATTCCCTTGTGCTCATGGAGTCATTATGGCTCTACTTGTTAGAACTTATATGCCTGGTTACACAAACTTAAGTTAGTTCAATTTGCTTTAACAAAGTAACGTTCTCATTGCTGCTTTCTTTATGTAGGTTATTATAACTCTGTTTTTTCTCTTTATTTAACTTCTAATTTTTTGGTGTTATAGAAATCCGACCTGCTCTGCACATGGATAATTTGGTGAACATCTATAAGAACATGGAAGTTGCTTCAGGAGTCAATATATTTGTTACTCAAACCAATCCGTCATCCAGAGTATCAGGTAATATCCCGCTTTTGCAGGTACAAATGCACCTAATATTATCATGAGCCCTTGTTTAACAAGGGCGTTTTGGGATGGATAGTTTGGGGCTCTAATCCATGTTTGAACAAGTGTCTTAAATTTGTTAAACTTGCATGTTTTTGTTTTATCTACCTTGTTTCCAATCAAAACAAATGAGCTTTAATATGTTTAGCTTTTATCAAGTTAGGTTTAATATTGTTAACATTCCACCTCACCAAAGAAATCATATTTATGATTCCTGTAGAGCATTATATGGTATGGATGTCAGTAACTCTTGTTTGCATCTGATATTCATTCTTTAGTCCTGAACATAATCCAAATAATATATTTTGATACGTTTATGGTTCTGAAGAATTTACTTTGATTCAGCCAATTTGGAAGTAGTTATTATCAAGTTAGGTTTAATATTGTTAACATTCCACCTCACCAAAGAAATCATATTTATGATTCCCGTAGAGCATTATATGGTATGGATGTCAGTAACTCTTGTTTGCATCTGATATTCATTCTTTAGTCCTGAACATAATCCAAATAATATATTTTGATTCGTTTATGGTTCTGAAGAATTTACTTTGATTCAGCCAATTTGGAAGTAGTTATTATCATTTCAGTAAATAATTTTGGTTTGAGCATCTTTATCTCATATGCAGGTGAAGACAACCAATCTAATGGCAAACAAACTTGTGGACTCCCAGATGAAGGTAAAACTGTAACTGAGGCTCCAGCCACAGATAATCAGAAAAGAAAAAGAGGGAAAGGGTCAAAAAAATCTTCAGAGTGCAACAAAAAGAATACCGGATCAAATCTTATTAGACCTTCTTTTCCGACAAAAAAGAGAGTGCAGGTGCCAAAATATCCACCTCTAGAGACTCCGCCACCCGCAAAGTTGGCTGGTGGAAATGGTAAATCCATCACCAACGAAGCTCAGAAACCTTTGGTGATTGAGAAAGACAGGTCTATGCTAAATGAAAAAGGAGAACCAGTACTATCTCCATTCTTCTGGCTGAGAGAAGAAGAGGATGTAGAAAGGTCAAGTCAGCAAACAGATGGATACATTATCATGGATACACCTCCAGTTATTCCATGCTTCAGTGATATAAAGGACATGGATGATGAGGTCCACTGTGAAATGTCTCCAAAAGTAAGTAACATGATATCCAATTTATACTAAGAAACAACTGCTTCAGCTCCAGAATAAAGTGTACTCTTAAATAGAAAATTGATAAGATTGGATTGTTTGGTCTGATCTGTATGCCAGATAAGCTTTAACATTACACTCTAATTTACTGAATCATTCTCTAGTATTGCTTATTTGATCTTTTTTGTCTCCCGCTGGAATAGAGAGAGGAATGCTTTCCAGTCTAGTTTTTTAAATCATTTGGTATTTCTTTTTTCAGCTTCCTTACAGTGCATAAAAATGTAAATAGAAACCTCAAGTTTTTGGATCCTCCTTTCTTACCCTTCAACTTAGCTTTTGTGTTTTGTGATCCAGAGTTGAGCTTAATGATGATCTTGTTCATGTTCACACTTTCTGTGTATTTTATGAAGAAGTTTCATTGGTTTTCCCACTTTCTTGCTATACAGAGTGGAACTCGTAATGCAGCAAATGGAGCAGATCTTTTTGACAGTGAGATGTTCGACTGGACACAAAGAGCTTGCTCTCCTGAACTTTCTTCAAGCCCCTACAAGACGAAGGTATTTCTTTGCAGTACATTATTGCCAAGGGAGTCAGAACTGTTTTCCTCTTTCTCATTCTCTAAACTTGTTTAGTTTCTAATTTATTTCTCTTTTGCTGGTTTAGATTAAAGATACTGATTGTGCTGCAGCTCAAGAGAAGACTCGATTGCCCTCACTAAAAAGGCATAGTGTGGAATCAGCAACTCAGGACAGAACAACTGTGGTAAATGTAGAGGGTACTGATAAAGAACAACTGAAGTCACACTCTTTATTTCCTCTTGAAAATGAAATCACTGGTACCAAAGGTGTCGTTTGCAATTCTAGCAAGAGTAAGGCACTTAGATGCACTAAGAAGAAACAAGGCAAGAAAATAATTGGTGAAGTGTCAGAATTTCATAATAACTTACAAAAAGCAGCTGAAAAAACTATGAAGAACAATCAGGAAGATGCCTATGCACTTAACTCAAAGAACAAAGATTTGAAAAACAAGAAAAAGGGTAGTTCCGCTACAAATGTCACAGGGTCAGCAATAGAAGACATTTCCACTTCATGTCGTGCTAAAAGACTTCGCAAGAGCAGTCAGCCCAAGTCCTTCGATATGTCTACTCTTGGAGATCAGGAAAAACACAGTGAAGGAAGCATTGAGACACTTGACTTGAAGGCATGTCATAAACAGGACCAGAGATCTATTGGTGAACAAAATAAAATTCGTTTTAGACCAAAGTGCAGACAGAGAACTGCTAAAGATAACATTACACAAATCCAAGATGAACCTTTGCATTTGGCAGCAAATAGATTGCTTCCCATGCATAATGATGGGGAAGCTACTCCTTCTGGTACACAAATCAAGACATGTGAGCTTGAGTGTGATGGCAAGCTTCATGGTAAGAAAAAAGTGAAGTTTTCTGAAGATGAGCAGCTTGCTGACAAGGAAAATATTACACTTGAAAAGATTCAGAAGAGAGTGCATAAATCATTGGAAACAGAGAAATCTGTTTCGGACGTGAATGGATTGGTTTTGCGGAAGTGTGAGGCAAGCAGCAACAAGATCCAGTGTGCCTTCTGCCGTTCAGCAGAGGAATCTGAGGTATAAGTCATTGATTGTGTTTTTCTTTTCTGGTTCCTCCTATTTATTCTTGGAGCTGCTTGCCTCTTGACTTTGTATATTGATTATATACTTCCATTTTTCATAACCAAATTTCAGATTTCAGGAGTCATGATAAGCTACCTTAATGGAAAACCTGTTAAAGAAGATGTCAATGGAGTATCTGGTGTTATACATGTGCATAAGCATTGTGCAGAATGGTAATAGTCCTCTCTTTATAAATCCTTCATGTAAAAGTGGTATAGTAAGTCATAAATAATCTGTAATGCATCAGAAAATTCTTGGTTTTCTAGATAATTTCATCATCAGTGTCACGAATGTCAAGTTTAAGAAAGTGTATTTTTCTTATTTAAGATAAAACAGAAGTGTATATTTCATATCTACATCTATTGTGTTCAATGTATAGCAATTTGTCATCATCAAAACTTTTCTTCATTTGTGCATTAAATCATTCTAGTCTCGTTGAATCTGTTTCAAGTCAAATCGTTTCTAGTGTAAAAGACAGAAATGCACATCTACAGGGCCCCTAATGTATATTTTGAAGAAGATGATGCGGTCAACCTTGAAGCTGAGCTGAAGAGGAGTCGGAGGATTACTTGTTTTTTCTGTGGAGTAAAAGGAGCAGCTCTTGGGTGTTATGAGACGAGTTGTCGCAAAAGCTTTCATGTTCCTTGTGCCAAGTTGACACCAGAGTGTCGATGGGATTATGTACGTCTTAAATTCGTTCCCTCAGACCTATATTTCATAAAAAAAATTCGTTCCCTCAGGCCTATATTTCATAAAAAAAGCATCACTTACTCTATTTTCCTTGTTTCAGGATAACTTTGTTATGTTATGCCCTTTGCATGCCAACTCTAAGCTGCCATGTGAGGTCCCTGGAAAGCAGTCCCGGATTAAAGAAAGTATCAAAAGGTTGGATCAACAGATTCTTAGAATTGTTAGCTAAAAAATTTAGATTCCCCTTCTCATTGTCTTTAATCTGCAGAAGTTCTAATATCCACCAGCCTAAAGTCTCAGCAACACCTGATAATGCTGCTACTTCGCAGTGGAAGTCTCAGAAGAAGAATAAGAGCTTGGTGCTCTGTTGTTCAGCTCTAACTGCTGATGAAAAAGTGAGTAAACAGAATAATATTTGCAGATGATATTTGTTCAAGATAAATGGGGTTCATTAACTGGATAACTTAAATTTTCTCCTTGCAGGAGCTTGTTTCTTCATTAAAGAGGTTGTCTGGAGTGACAGTAGTCAAGAACTGGGACCTAAGTGTCACCCATGTTATTGCTTCTACAGATGAGAAAGGGACATGCCGAAGAACTCTCAAATACTTGATGGGTGTCTTGGCTGGGAAATGGATATTGAGCATTGACTGTCAGTAACCTTTTTTTTCCTTTCTGTAACTGCAAATGAATATGTTGAGTTACAAATGTGTTTTCTCTACAGTCAGAGTTTAGCTTCTGTTTGGTCCATCTTGATGTTTGGTTTTTATGCTTGCAGGGATTATTGCTTGCTTGGAAGCCACAGAATTTGTTGATGAGCAGCAATATGAGATTAAAATGGATGCTCATGGCATCATGGATGGCCCTAAGCTTGGAAGATCGAGGATTTTAAACAAGGTACACCTTTCTCCGGATTTATCATTAATAACAAACTAATCAAGTGCATTTCAGTTCCTGGGTGTAATGGCATTTAAGAGCAATGTTTAATTCCTTACGTGGATAAATCACTCTTTTAGGTTCTATGCATTCCCGTTCCAGAAAGAGAATGGAACTTCAACTAGAATGTTTGTAGAGTTAAGAATGTCAGTGTAATTCCTTACCCCCCTCAATTTCTGGACAGCAAGTATGTCAGTTTAGATTCAATAAGGATGAACTTAAATCTCAACTTTTCCCTCTGTTCTACTGGTTGCTTATAGGTCTCACTGCATTTTCATCTTCTGCTGGCTGTAATTACAAATTTCCTGCTTTAACTACGATAATCTTTAGGATGGACATTTCATCATTTGCATTAAAATCCTCTTATGTATTCTTTAAATGCCAAAATTCCTGTTTTGCAGCAACCAAAGCTTTTCAATGGATACAAGTTCTTTTTTATGGGTGGCTTTTCACCTTCCTACAAGAGCTATCTACATGACCTTGTTATTGCTGCTGGAGGAATTATCCTCAACAGGAAGCCTGTAGCAGTGAATCAGGAAATTCTTTCACCTGGATGCCTTGCACCTTTTGTAATTTATAGTCGCGAGCAACTTGATAAGTCTGAAGTAATAGAAAAAAAACGATCTGATGCAGAAGCTTTGGCTAGTTCCACCGGAGCTGTAGCGGCCAGCAGCACTTGGATTCTGAACTGCATTGCTGGCTCCAAGTTGCTGGAGCTGGAATAGTGTAAAAATTTCTAGCTAAGTTTTTCACATCATTCAGCACCGCAGGCAAGACTTAGCCTTTTTGTCTCTAGTTTTATAAAGCATCAGTCTGTAAAGTTTATCTAATCATTCAGTTACTTGTACCCAAAATATCTTGATGAATAAGTTAAAAGATTCAATTAAATTTCAGTTTACTTTGCATATTCTATAGTTTGAAAGGTGTGTTCAAGTCTGCGGATAAGAGGAACTTAAAATTGCAGAATCTATCATGCTGTCTCCCTGACCCCCTAGTCCTTTAAAAGGTGGACTCCCTCTTCATTATAATTCCATAACAGCACTTCAAGGTCTTGTAAGATGAGTTATAATGCAAGTTATGACAATGAGGTCGGATTATTGATGTCATTAGCACTAATATAAAACTGAAAGACAGAATAGGTTACCTGTAAATTACACATGAAAAAAAGCAACATCACATAGTTATTTTCCTATTACATACCATATACTTGACTCATTACGTTAACTCCATAGCAGAGAAGAATGGCTATCTTTTCCCCATTTCAGTGCATTTGATTGTGGACCATGTTAAAGATAACCTGACTAAGTTGAAGTCCATCTTTTCTCCTTTGTGTTCGTGTTGTTTTTAAGTTAGCATATCTTCTATGCAAGAACTATAGGCTTGCAAGCACTAATCTCTGCTTTTGGTTTGACACATTCCCCTTCCTTTTGACCATGTTTTGCAACTTGCATTTCAAAGCATTCAAACATATGCTCTAATTCAACAATTTCCTCTTGAATATCCGTCGAGGGCACATTTTCTGAGGCAATTCGTTCTTTAAAGCTGTGGATTCGGGAAAGTCCAGCTCCAACTTTTGCTGTCATTTCCTCCATGGTTGCATGCATGGCCATGTTTTCCGCTTGTGCATCCTTCCATTTCCTCTTAATGGATCTATAACCATCCAATGACTTTAGTAGTTGCTCTGAAAGTGCCTTATTTCTCTCTTGGAGGGCAATGTTTCCTTGTGTTTCTCCACCACTGCTATACCTCCTTTCTTTTTGCTCGGTGGCACATCCGTGTAACCTTTCCACTAAACTCTCATTTTGTTCTTTTAGATCATTGATGAGGTCCTCCATTTCATTCAACTCGTGGACCTTTTTCGATAGCTCTGATGCCATAATCTCTTTTTCTTTCCCTAAGCTTGAACACATGGCCTCGAGGCTCTTTCGTGCTACCAAACTCGCGTTTAGCTGCTTCCGTAGTTTTTCTTTCTCATCAATCATCGGCTCGTGGTGCTTCTTGTCTATTGGAACATGACTAGTAACCTTAAGCTCTGAATTACATCGACTTAATTCAGCTTCTGATGATGACTTGTTACCAAATGATTGACATTTTTGAATTCTTGTCCTAACATTATCAAGAATGGCCATCATGGTTGCCACCCTCAACATTCTCCGGCCATCGTTCTTCTCTTTGTTACAAGCATTTTTGTGCTCTTGAGTCAACTTTAGCAATAACTTAATGTTGGCTGCAACCCCTGAAAATACAGAAAATCCCAAAAAAACAAAATAAAAAAACACGACTATCTCATAAAACTTTGATCAATAAATACAATGCTGCAATAGTCGAGTACAAAAAACATGTAAAAAATAAAAAGAAATTGTTGCAGTTGTAAATTTTTTCTTCTATATTCATGTAATTAGGCCATCAAGTCTGGTGTATCATGTAAGTCAAGAAAAAATAGAGTTAAATATACCATAAAAATTCAAGAGAAAAGTCCGAACATTGTTTACACAAAAACTTTACTTCCTCTATTTCTTCATTGAATCTTATGGCAAAAGGACAGCCCGATGCACAAAGCATTCCACATTCATGCTTGGGGTCCGGGGAAGAACCGCACCTCAAGGGGTGCGACGTAGACAACCTACTCTAATACAAGTATTAATGGCCGCTTCTACGGCTCGAACCCGTGACCTATAGGTCACACGGAGACAACTTTATCATTGAGGATCATTGAATCTTATGATCACCCATAAATACTTTTAAAAAGGTCAATAAAAACACAAGAAACCAAACATAAGCAAAGAAAGAAAAAAGGAAATCATTACCTTCTAAAGCTGAATCATCATAGAATTGTTCTGATGGTAAATTAGCAACTAAATCAGGAGACGAATTTACACGAAATCTACTCATGATTAATATGTCAAGAAAATGTAGAGAAAATTCTTCAAGAAAGATAGATGAGGAATGAAATGTATGGAAAATTATAATGAAGGCAATGCTGAATTTAGAAGAAAAGGGTACTTTCTAAACTATTTTTTCTTTCTTTTTGAGGGGTCAGATTGTACTAATTAGATATAAAAAAATTGATATAATTTTGAGAGATCCAAAGAAGAGAGATTGCTTTGCAAACCCTCTTTCTGTTTCTCTTCTTTTCCTTCTATCTCATTATCTGAGAAGTTTTTATTAAGCACTTTGAGAAAAACAAAAAAACAAAAAAGGAATTATTTTCAAGTTGTCTTATTCTTCTATTTTTTTTTATTTTTTTTATTTTATAATATTCAATGTTTTTGTTGGATGTTAGCTCATGAGAGAGATTGGTTGGCTCATGGCAGTTATTTTTGCGCAATTATTGGCAATTAATTGACTTATTGATTGGCTGTTAGCTGTTATTGACTTTTTTAGACAGAACAGGTGGCTTCATGTGATGAGTCCATACCTATTCACTTATTAAAATTCTCATTTGCCCATAGTTTTTTTTTAATGCATATATGTGTGATATCGTGTATAGTGTATTTAATAGAAAATAGGACAAATTACATTAATGCTCTATCTAGAATGCGAAACTATGTAAACGTCCTATAGCTTGGAATGCACTTTGTTCAGATTATTAGCTTTCCTAAAACCACACGTGAGCAGAAGCGGATTTAGGATTTTTAGAACGTGAATCCTACTTGGGGAATTTTTTTAGTTATTGCTTTGCCGACCTAGCGACCCCTGTCCTTCTCCTTTGTTTCTGAACTAGCAGAATCGTGTTCGAACCTCGAATCCGGACATGACCAGATCCATCAACAAAACTACTGAAAAAGTGAAGTCTCAAATGGGAATCGTTCCATGTTCCTTTGAATAAATAACTCAGTATTCAACCATGAGCACAATTAAACCTTTTTGGAGCATAGGAGCCAGTAGATATTATTATATTTACAAAATATATACATAAATTACCTAGTTTGGTAAAAAAATCATGGGTCCACGTCGTAAAAATGACTTAAATCCGCCCCCGCTCACGAGTAAAATGTCCGGCATTAGAGTGACTCACATTGGTTGAGGAAATTACTGGAATAATTTCTTTGTTCATGAGTTAACTTTTGATGTTAATTTAGGTTCAAGATTCGTTTTCTCTTTATGATATCAAAGCCAGATCTATCATTATCTTTGGTTTATCCAATATTCAGCTCCATGCCACGTTCTCCACGCTCCAAGTGTTCGCCCTGCAAGAGTGTAAAAGTGTTTCACTTTAGTGAAATTCACTAACTTAATGGAAGTATTTATGATGAATTATTTGGTAGATAGGGATTCCGTAAAATTTGGACAAAAGATAGTTAGTTATTTATTGATTGATAAAATGATAAGTATTTGAGAACAATTATTTTAGTATACATGGAAATTAAATGGGAATAAAGTGAGTATAATTAGCTCACTATAAAATATGTATTGTGTCCGATCCCTATGCATGGAAAGAATAGAATCGAACTATACATAGTATCTGGCTATCTGCTCACTGCACTAAATGAGCTCATAAAGAAAGGAGTAGAAGAGGAGATTTAATTATTTTCTTATCTGAAGATGAAGTCTTACATTTTACAGTTGACACTTATTAAACTCTTCCTGTTCGTACATACATCCTTTTCGCCTAAAAATTAGTAAAAAATAAATTTGAAGTATAAGAACCAAAGCTAGCGTTTGGCCATAAATCCCAAATTTATTTTGAAAATTTTGATTTGGGTGAAGTTTGGTTTGAAGATGAAAATGTGTTTGGACATACGTTTTCAAAACATATTTTCCAACTTTATTTTGGAAAAACATGTATATAATTCCCAAGTTTTGAGATTTTGGCCCAAAATCAGCTCAATAGCTGATTTTGGGATTTGGCCAAAATATGGGCAATATTTATGGCCAAACATAAGTTTTAAAAATAAATCCCAAATTTATTTTGGCAAAACTCATGGCCAAACGTGGCCAAAGAATCTACTCTTTGCTGCAAATTTGAATCTCAGTTTTCTAAAAATTTGAAACAAAAATCATGTAACTGTTTGACCAAAAAGTATAAACTTTCGGTTGAACCATTATATTTCATGTATTGAAGGGTTAAACTTAGTTAATGATAATATCTCTAGATGTAGATCTTGAAAACACGGGTAATGTAAGACAGAGTCAGTGAGAAATTGAAAATAACACACATTTAATGTTCTAAAAGGTATGAACAATAATGGAGGAGTAACTAGCAATAAATGACAATAAATGACATTTAAGTAAATATGGTGAGCAATTCACCCAATAATGGATGAAGTAGATGATTGTTCTAACTGACAATGATGAGTGACAGACAAATCCTAGAATGTTCGAACTATTCTCGGATCTAATGAAAAAGTATGAAATAATGTGAGTGAGAATATTGATGAAAAGTAAAACTTGTATATTTGCTAGAGAGGGAATCTTCTTTTGAAAGTGTTCTTATCAAGTGAATATTACATGCCATATTCCATTATCTCTTTTTCTATTTATACAGGACATGTCCCTAACAAAACCCTAATAGTACAAGTGCAGAGATTCACCAGAATATTCTCTTTAATGTCCTATTTCGAACACTAGCCGTTATTGTACTTTACACGATGCTCGACCTTGGTCATGGTTGACATTTCGGCCACGAATCTTGCTGCTTCATGGTCGACCTCGACCGACTCTTTCCTTAATATCGTATTACGCTAAATATCCTTAGGGTATATTTTGGCCTATACAGTAACTAAAACTTGTATATTGTACAAACTACTGTATTAATCATAAATCGTGTATTGAAATTTATTACTTGGAAAAAATTATCTTGTTACTTAAAACAATTATTGTTTCTTATTTGTCAAATGAGATGAGCGAGAATATATTTTCTTTGTATTAGATCCAGATGTCTAGACATGTTGATAACATGAGTTG